CCAGCTCGCCAGCCGGCAGCGGCCCTGCGCCGGTCGGCGCCCACCCGCCCCGCCTGCATGCCGCCCACACCCCGACCCCCTAACCCCCACCCCCCCACCCTCCCCGCTGCCGCAGGCCATGGACCGCGCCCACCGCCTGGGCCAGCAGCGCACGGTGAACGTGTACCGCCTGTTGGTGCGGGGCACGGTGGAGGAGCAGATCATGAGCCTGCAGCGCTTCAAGCTGGACGTGGCCGCCACCCTGGTCAACGCGGACAACGCCAGCCTGGCGGCCATGGACACAGGCAACCTGCTGGACATCTTCACGCTGCAGGACGGCGCCGCAGCGCCCGCCAAGCAGCAGGCCGGTGGGGAGGGTGCCGAGGCGGCGGCGGCGGCGGCGGGTGGCAAGAAGGGCGGCGGGCTGCAGGCGGTGCTGGCTGGGCTGGGCGACCTGGAGGCATCAGAGGCGCAGTATGCCGACCAGTTCAGCCTAGCCAGCTTCCAGGAGAAGCTGGGCAAGCAGGGGTGAAGCTGTGTGGGCCTCTCAATGGCCCCACATTGCTGTGTCCCACCTGCTGCTCTGGCTGTGCACCCCTGCTCCGCTCTCCTTCCTCTTCGCGCTCCCACTTCTTTTCCCCCGCTCCTTTCTCTGCCCTCGCTCTCCTTCTGGCTTAGCCGTGGTGTTACAATGACAGGCACGAGAGGAAGCGGAGCAAGAGGGGGCAGCAACAGGGGAGAGAATAAGCTGAAGCAAGGGATGGAGCAGCAGTCGGGTGCGTCAGGTCGAGGTGGGGCAGCGCCCGGGGCGGGCTGGGCCTTGCGCCGGCCCCGCCCGGGGCCACGCCACGTCATCACGTCGATGCCAGGTCAGCATCACATGGCGTACACGTCCTCCAGCTTGCGGCGCTTCCACCGGTCCGGGCCGATGACCAGCACAAAGACGAGGGTGAGGGCCATGAATCCCAGCAGGCAGTAGATGAAGATGTTTTCGTTGTAGATGTACTTGAGGCCCTTGATGGAGCTCAGCTGGTTGCCAAAGATGTCGTTGATGGCGGTGCCGTCGGCGTACAGCGCAAAGGCGGCGGTGCAGAACTGGATGGAGGCGGTGGTGGCCAGCAGGATGAGGGCGACGTTGAAGAGGAAGGAGGACATGATGGTGGCGCCGCGCCGCATCGGGTGCACCCGGAAGATGAGCAGGTTGAGGCCAAACTTGAAGTTGCCCTTGGTGACGCACAGCTGGAGGTAGAAGGCAAACAGGCCAAACAGCAGCGTGCCAAACAGCGGGAAGGCGTCGTTGGCCCTGCGCGGGTGAGGGAGGGGGCGGGGGCAGGCAGGGAGAGGGAGTGGGGTGAGCATCAGCAGGCGGAGGGAAGGGGCAGCGGGGCAGGCAGCAGAGCTGGGCGCGCCCCCCCCCCAAAAAAAACCGCCCTCGCCCGCTCACTTGATGAACATGTCGTTGAGCAGCGGGGTGACGGGGGGGTCTATGAGGATGTACAGGATGATCTGCAGCACCCAGCAGATGGACATGGCCAGCCCCAGCAGGCCGCCAAAGAACTTGAGCCAGAAGCCCATCACCGTCAGCACCCACTTGTAGTCCGGGTCCTCGCTCTGCAGGGCAGGGCAGGCGGGCAAGGCAGGCAGGCAGGGGCGCAGCAAGGGGCGAGGGTGGGGCGGCAGCAGAGGCGGCAACCTCGGCTCAGCTGCTGCCATGCGCTGCCGGCTGGTGCAACGAGAGCAGAGCACGCTCCCGCCGCTGGCGCGCCACCCTGCCACACACCGATGCCTCCACAGCTGCAGCCGCCAGGCCAAGCCACCCCCACCCCGCCCCACCTGCGGGTACACCAGCTCCAGCTGCGTCTCGTCCTCCTCCAGCACAATGAGCTGGTTGTTGAGGGCCTTGATGTTGCGGCGCCAGCGCCAGCTGCGCCCCCGCTCCCGCTCCTCCCGCTTCAGCGCGTCGGCCAGCGCTAGGATGTCCTTGGCCCGGCGCGCCAGGTCGCGGGCGCGGTCGATGTACTGGGAGCGCGTGATGGTGGCCTTGGGGCGGGCGATGAACTCGCGGATCCAGTCGATGGGCAGCGCCACCAGGCCGATGCCGCCAAACACCATGAACAGCACCCAGCCCAGCGTGGCCACAATGGCCATGGCGTACACGATGATGGACACCCGGATGGTCCACACCTCGCTCAGCTGGTTGATCAGCGTGTCGCACTGCGGGGCAGGAGAGGGCGCGGGGGGAGGGCCGCCGCTCAGCACTGGGCAGCCATCCCAGGCATGCTCCGCCCGGCGCCGGCAGCCCAGCTGGCGCGCCCCAGCCACGCGCCCGCCCGCACGTTGTAGCCCAGGCTGACGAGCGTGGAGTTGAGCTTGGGCTGGCCGCTGTCCTGGTCGTAATAGGAGAAGAGGCCGATGCAGTTGGTGAAGCTGTCCTCGGCGTTGCTGAGGTAGCTGATGGGCAGCAGGCCCGACCGCGCCCCCTGCACCGTGTACTGCGCATTGCCGGCAAAGGCTGCACGCCAGCGGGGCGGCGGCAGGCAGCGGGGTCGGTGTGGTGCCGGCATGCAGCTTCGGGCGTGGCGGGGGCCCAGGAAGGGAGCCCGCGGCCTGCTGTGGCAGCAGCCGCGAAACAGCGCTGAAACGGTGGGCGGCGCATAGAGGCACCCATGACTGGCGGCAGCATGACCGGCAACGGGCAGCAGCCAGCCAGCGGCAGGGGCGGCGCTGGGGGCGCACCGTAGGGGATGCCGATGAGGATGGCCATCACAAACACCGTGCCCGCTGCCCACAGCGCACCGCTCAGGGATCGCCGGAACACAGACCTGCGTTGATGTGTTGTGGGGAGCGGGGTCGTGTGGCGGGATCGTGCGGCAGCACAGAGAGCTTGCACGGGTAGCAGGCAAGCAAGGTCTCATCACCCTCCATGCCCGGCGGCCTTGAGCAGCGCAGCAGCTGCTGCAAGGCGGCGGCAGAGCGGTGCAGGTGCGCCGCGCGCCACGCGCGCCACGTGCTCACCAGTCGCTGTCTGCCTCATAGTAGAAGATGCAGAAGGGCACCGCGATGAAGGTGATGGCCATGTTGGCGATGTACATGGCATACCACAGCTCCTTCATGGGCATGGTGCTGCACGAGGACAGCGGTATGTCGAGCTCGCACGCCTGCTGGTTGGCGACGTCCAACGGGAAGAGGAGTATGGTCCAGAAGGCCACGGAGAAGCCCAGCAGCACCACGAGCTTGGGCAGCCATGCCTGGTTCTTGTCCTCCGGGTGCTGGAAGTGAACGACCAGGTAGAGCGAGACCAGCAGCACCAGAATCGCCACCACCACCGTGATAACTGCAGCGGCGGGCGGGCTCCCCACACTCTCAGCAGCCGCACACAGACAGACGGGAGGCGCGGGAGCAGCAGGGCGCCAGGGCAGGGACCCCCACTCGCCCGAGCGCAGCAGCTCGCAGGACGGGACTCACTGATGAGGAACCAATTCATGGCCGGCTATCAGATGCTGTCTGTGCCGCTGCTCCGTCAACTGCGCCTTTCAGGCGCGTCTGCCCATTTCAGGGAGCCGCAGGCGCGCCGAGCCTAGTTCAAAGGGGTCGTGGGAAGGGTGCAAGCAAGCTGGAGGGTGAATGGAGTCCCTCCGCGCGCTGCTATGTGGCCAACCGCACTACTGAGCAGTACAGTTTTGTGGAGACCAGCCTGTGGTCTCTAGAGGCACTCTCATCATCCAGTGTATACCGGCACGGCACCTCCTGCAGCTCTGCCGGCCGCCTGCGACGGCTGTGCACCGTCAGCCGCGGCGGCGGCGGCAGCCAACCCAGTTGGCTGGGCTGAGCAGGCAACCCAAGGCCCATGTGGGCGGCTCGGCGGGAGGGCGGTCTCCTCTCGCTGGTAGCCGCCTGCGGGCAGCAAGCAGGGGCCGCCTGGCAAGCGGTGCGCGGCGTGCACCGCCAGCGGGCAGGAGACGAGGTGGCGGCAGCAAAGGTGGGCCATAGTGTGCTGCAGCTGGCCAGCAAGCATATCTCCCTGCAAGAAAAGCCATGCTGTGGCAGCGTGGGGCCCACCAACAAATCGTGCAGGGCAGGAGCGCCCCTCCGCCTCCCACCGCGTAGCTCACCCGTGCCCCCGCAGCGTGAGCGCCGCAAACAGCGGCGGAAGCAGAACCGGGAGCTGCGGGAGCGCGTGTCGGTGGGAGCCTTTGGCTGGCAGTGGAGCCATGGTCATGATGCAGGCACACAGGTGAGGCGGTCTAACCAGTTTCCTGCCCTGGTACATGCACCTTGATTATACGTGCTGGCTTCTACTAATGTGATGCCCTCGCTGATGCTGCAGGCATCACGCGACCGAGCCTCCCGGCGGGCCGCAGGCCAATGCAGCGACTGCGACATCAGTGATGGCGAGGCCGGCAGCAGCAGCAACGACTTCCGCATTTTTCGCACCCTGTTTGGCCGCCCCAGGGGCAGCAGGGAACGCAAGAAGTTTGGCCGTGCATGGAAGCAGTGGCAGGCTCAGGGGAGCGGCGAAAGCAGTGCCGCGACTAGCAGCAGCGGTGCCGCCAGCCATGGCAGTAACGGCAGCAGCCGTGGGAGCGGGAGATCAAGCGGCCGCGGCCCAGGTTTTGGCAGCGCAGGCGCCAGTGCTGGGCCGCAGTGGGGCCATGCCAACTGGACGTGGGAAGACTTTGAGCAGCCTGCCGGTGGCGGTAACAGCAGCGCCGGCAGGGGTGCGGAGGGCTGTGCAAGCTGGGGATATGACGAAGCCTGGTACGAGCCGCCACAGGGCCACCATACCAAACGCACCTGGGCAAGCGGCACCTTTGGAATTCACTTTGAGTGGTACAGCGCCTGGCAGCAACACCACAGCAGCGGCTGCAGCCCCGGCACAGCAAGGGCAGGCAGTTCTGTCCACAGCAACTTGCGCCTGCTGGGCCTGGAGCCAGCCAACTGGCTGGAGTCGCGCTGCGGCAAGCTGCTGCGGCAGGCTTACTTAGCTAGAGCCAAGGCGGAGCACCCAGACATGCACTGCCGCTCCGCAGCAAGGTCTACAGCAGAGGAGCGCTTCAAGCAGGTGCAGGCTGCGTACCAAGCGCTGCTGGTGCTGGTGGTGCCCTGATCAACTGTCTGCTATGGACAGCTGTACATTCTCCTCGTTTTGTTGTTCCGCTTCCAACACAGTTTTGCAAACCCTTCTCTGTTCCCAATACTGCTCCTGCCTTTGCTTTTTCTGTCACAGCTCTTCTCTTGCTCTTGCTGGTCAAATCTTTCCACATTGGATTAAATCAAATGCTCTGATGCTCTGACAATCAATTGTGTCAACTGCAAGATCAATACACTGGTCAGCAGAAACAGATGCTGTTCTGATGATGATTCACTCAGATTGCTTGGATGGGCGTTGATGAACCCGAGAAACTCACGCAGGGAGCTCGCGCGTTCGCTCAGGCCGCCTTCCGTGTGAGCGTCAGCAGCTCCGCTGCCACCAAGCGCCCCGCCACCAGCCGCCGGGTGGCCACCGCCATGCTGCTGCCGCCCTCATCCAGCAGCACGCCAGCAGTGACGGTGACATCCTCCCCGCGGATGTCGCAGGCGCTCCAGGCCTGAAGCGGGTGCAGCAGCAGGCCCGTCGCCACCACGTCCTCTGCTGACCAGCCCTCGCCGCTCACCGCCTCGCGGCTGCACTGCCCGCTGGCATCTCCGTCCACGCTGTACCGCACCCCGCTGGCCTCCCAGCTGCCCTGCACCGCCTCTGCCGCCAGGCGCTGGTCGCCGGCAAACGCCTTCATGCCGCCGCCACACCCCGACAGCTCCACCTTGCCGCGGTATGGCGAGTCGTACCGCTCGTTGTGCACTTCCACGCTGTCCAGCACCCAGCGCCCCTCGCCGCCCGTGCGCCGCAGGTTGTGCACCACCCGCAGGCGGCGCCGCCGCGGCTCCACCACCAGGCACTGCTCCAGCGCGGCCTTGGTGCAGTCGGCGGCCGAGATGTCGTGGGGCCCCTGGCTATAGCTGCCGTCGGGCGCCACCGTGGCAGCGCCCGTATCGGTTGAAGACTGGAACAGCTTGCAGGCAGCCTGGGTGTATGCAATGGCGTCAGCCTCGCAGCCTGCATGCCAGCAACAGCATGGTACGTGAAGCACGTGGCAGGGCTGGGCGCAGGGCGGTGCCTGCCGGCTGGCTTAGGCTTCAGGCTCGGGCGCACCGACGGTGGGCATCATGCGCCGGTTGGTGGCCGTCAACCCTTCTGCGTCGGCCAGCATGCTGGACTGGCTCTGCCAGTCAAAAATTTCAACACACCAGTCTCGGTATGCCTGCAGGTGGGCAGGCAGGCAGGCAGGCTGTTTGAGGAGTGACACACAAGGGCGGTGCGCGGCCATGGGCTGCTGCTCTGCAAGAGCGGCGTTTGTGCTTGCTTGCCTGCGGCACATAGTACTCTGGGAGAGGGATGGGCTCGCCATCGGGACCAAAGGAAGCCGTGACTCCCTCCCATTCCCCTGAAACATTCTCTGCAAAGTTGGCCCAGCCGTCGGCAGGGCTGGGGCTGGCGGCGGCGCCTCCGTCGGTGGTAGGCACCGTCACCACTGTGCTACAGGAGGGTGCCGCTGACTGGCACGCCGCTCTCCTGCTGCTGCGGCGCTGCTGCCGCTGTTGCAGCTGCCTACTGGGCTGCTGCTTGCAGGCCTGCGAGAAGCCGCGCCGGCGCACGGCGGCAGGGCCGCAGGTGCGGACGTTGCTAGCTGCCTGGCACGCCATTCAATTCCTCGGGAAGATGCAGGCAGTGCCTTACCAAAGTTTACGATCGCGGATTGGGAGGAGGTACAGGCCCATCCCCTGCCTGGCTGCATTCTCGCACTGCATCAATCCATCTCAATAGCAGCACGATGACGACACTATCTGCACGCCAATTCGCCAGCAGTTGCACCACGCTGGGCAGCTCGCATCCAAGACGGCTGGCACCCATAGCCGCAGCACAACCGTGTAGCAGCAGGCCGAGAGATAACAGCGCGCCAAGCTGCAGCAGCAGCCGCTGCAGCCCAGCCTTGCCGCGGCGGCAGCTGCTCGAGGCGGCGGCGGCGCTGGGCGCCTGGCTCTCCTTGCAGCGCCCCGCCAGCGCTGCGGGGGCTGTGCCAAAAGGTATGCATGCTTGTTGTGCACTACGGCCATCCTGTCGGCACTCGCCACTAGTTCCTGTACATTCCCCATGCCGTCGCCTGTCGCATCCTACTGCTAACTTGTTGGCTGGGTCCTTGCAGCCTACGAGGATACTGCGCAGAGGCTGGTGGATGCGCTGCGGGAGGCCATTAGCACCGACCTCAGCGATGCAGAGGAGCGGCAGGTGGGGCTGGTGGGTGGATGGTGAGGGAAAGCAGCCGAGCCGAGCGCCTTGCTGCGTGCCGGTGCCAAGCAGCTTGGGATCCACCTGCTGCTGCTGTCCATCCCGCCCCCACCTCCCGCAGGTGCGGCGCGCCGCCGACCCCGCCAAGAGCCTGGTGCGCCAGTTTCTGACGCGGTGGAAGGGCAACGGGCTGGTGGAGGGGGAGGAGTCGTACCGCCAGCTGTCTGCGGCCATCCAGCTGCTGGGCACCTTCTACCAGCAGAACGGGCAGCGCACTCGGCTGACCGGCGAGGTGGGGCAGGCGGTGCTGGATAGGCTGGATGCGGCAGAGGCGGCGCTGCCCATGCGAGAGGACAAGGTCCTGCCGCTGCCCTTCTTCTGACACGACAAACCTGGCCGCAAGCAAAACCGATAGTGCGGCTCATCTGCTGCTCTGCGACGGCTTGTAGTCCCTCTCAGATGGCAGCAGGAGGGACATTGGGGATGCTGCCATCCAGCAGCTGCACAGGCGCTGGATGAGAAGGGGGGCCAGCACTGTTCCACATTTTGCGCTGCATCGTCATGCTTGCGTGCGTCACAAGTAGAAGAAGCCAGCATGAGAAGCAGGACAGGGGAGAGCTCTGCATGTGCAGCAGGCCGAGGGTTTCCTGCCGTGGCACGGCACGGCACAGGTGGTCACAGCCTCCCTCTGTTGCGCACATCAGACGCCAGCCGCCGGTCGCGCTCCTTCTCATACTCCCGCAGGTCTGCCTGCTGCAGGAAGGCCTGCTTGTCCAGGTACTGCGAGGCAGGCGGGGGGGTGCAACCGGCGGGGCAGTGGTGGTGTGCGAGAGGGTGGGGGAAGGTGGGGCCCGGGCATAAGGATGTGTGGTGGCGCAGGGCCAGGCAGCAGCACGATGCCCCTAACCTAACCTCCCCCGCACCCCGCCCCACCTGGTCCCCGCTGCGCTTGTGCATCTCCAGCTCCTCGTCAATCGTGTCGTCGGCCTTCTTGAAATCCTTCCAGTCAGCCCGCGACTTGTCGAGCACAGTCACCTGCAGCAGCAGGCAGCGCAAAAGGAGAAGAGCCAAGGGCAGGTTTGGGGTGGTAGGTGGCGGCCTGTCTATCCCACCACCTTGCCCGGAAAAACCACAGATAGCCACCACTGCCGCCACCGACAACACAAACCTTTTTCGCCTGCTGCAGCGAGGCCAGCACCGCGTCCAGCCCCGCCTTCTTCTTCTCCGCCGCCGCCTCAGCCTCAGCCTCTGCCCGCTGCGCCTCCTTGCTGTCCTTTGCCACCTCCTTGTTCACAGTGATGGTTTGCCCCGCAAACCGCCGCTGCTCTGTCACCGTGACAGTGCCCACCCTGCTAGCGCCCGCCACCGAGGCCGCCGCTTTGGCTGCTGCCAGTGCGGCTGCCGCTACAGACGTTTTCTTATCGACCCCCGTCTGCCCTGCCATGGGTGCTGCCTTGGGCTTGGATGCCAGGCCCAGCTGCCGCATCCAGGCCTGCAAGCCGGATGCCAGGGTGTGAGTGCATGAGAGGAGGGAGATGGCCTCCCACAATTTCCATCACGAGCCAGCACCTGCCAGTTGCAGGCATTTGTGCCCGGGCACGACAGGCGGGTTGGCCCTGCATCAGTTTCCCATGAGCACCAGCGGGCCGTCGCCCACCTCATCTGCGCTAGATTTGCCCTTGCTGCCTGCCGGCTTGCATAGGCTGGCTAGCGACGTGCCGCCTTTATTGGGCGCAGGCTTGGCTGCCGGTTTAGCGCGGTTGAGCTGGCTCCACAGCGCGTCCACTTTCGCCTTCTTTGCCTCCCGCTTGCTGTCAGGCAGCTGTTCATGCTCATCCTCCGGCTCGCTGCCCGCCTGCCCAGCCCCCTCGCTGCCATCCTCCACAGCAGCGTCTGCGCCGGCAGCTGCGCCACGCAGCCGCTTGGGCTTTTTGCTCAGCTTTGCCGCCCGCCGCTCCTCCTCATCCACCTCATCCGGCACATAATCCTGGTCCTCCTCGTCATCACTGGGCAGATTGGCATTGAGCAGGTTGCTCATGGCCCTGCTGCGTCTACAGTTCAGCGGTGCCGAGCTGCCGCCCGGCGATGGTCCGCCGCAACCACAGCGGGCGGGCTGGGGCGTCCGTCAGGCGCTGCAGGTGTTTTAGGCTGCTGGATTAGGGGCGGACTCAGGGCCTAGAAGCGATCAGGTCAGGAGGTGCTGCGATGAGCTCGGCTGCAGGAGGCGCAATTGCTGAGACCAAACACGGTCTGAGGGCCTGCCCTGGCTGGGTTTCAATCTGCAATTGACTGCCGACACGGGGAGGCAATGAGCCCGGTGTGGGACTGGTCAGCCAACATGGGTCGCGTGCCCCATCCGCTTGTCTTTCGCCCATTTTTGGCCTGCACACCCTCGCACCGGCTGTCCAGAGTTGCTGCGCTGTGGTGCACGCCTGGCCTCCGCCCAAAACCTCCTGCCCACCCCATGGCCTCCCTTGCGGGGTCTCGGGCCTTCCACCATGCGCTGGTGTCGCCCGGGAGTGCCGGACGGTTGACCAGGGCGCAGTGGCGGGCGGTGTGTGCACCGCGCAACAACTGCCGGAGCCCGACTGCGCAACGGGAGTCACTGGCGGCCTCTTCAGCCACAGGCGTGGACCCGCAACCAGCTGGGGAGGAGCTCATCGATGAGGCCAGCACGTCAGGTATGGCTGGTCGTGGCGCGGGTGGTTCTGGGCATCCCGAAGGGCGTGGCGGCGGCGGCCGCCGCCTGTTGGCCCTGGCGCCATGGTGCCAGCTGCAGCAGCCACCCACTTCAGCCCAAACCTTCAACATTGCTGCTTGATATCGTGGCCGTGTGACTGCCTGCAGGGCACAGCCACTGGAGGTCAGGCGCCACAGCGGCGGCGGCGCTAGCAGCTGCCGCCGTGCTGCTGCCGGCAGGAGCGGCGCACGCCAGCGGCCTGGCTAGCGAGGCAGCCGCCCCCGGCCTGCTAGAGTTCGTCATCAATTCTATAGAGGCGCTGGGTCCCTGGGGCCCTGCTGCATTTGTCGCCCTGGTGGCGCTCGCCGAAAGCATCCCGCTGCTGCCCACCCAGGCAAGCGATTGGTGGCAGTTGCTGCGCGGCATGCTTTTGCCGCTGCTTCGCCGCGCTCTGCAGGCAACCTGCACGGAACCCGCATGTTGTGATTGCCCTCCTGCTGCCGTTGATTGCCGCCCGGGGAGCTCTCCTCACCGCTGCCTGCCCGTCCTGCCCCCCGCCTGCGGCTGCAGCCCTTCTCGCTGGCCAGTGGGCTTTTGTTTGGGGCGCAGAAGGGCGCGCTGTGCATGCTGTCTGGCACCACGCTGGCCGCGCTCCTCGCCTTCTCCATCGCCCGCGGCATTGGGCGCCCGCTGGCGGAGCGCATCATCAGCCACGAGCTGTCGGGGTCGGAGCTGTCGGGGGCCGAGTCCGACGGCGGCGAGGCCGGCCCGCCCCTCACCCCCGTGCAGCGCAAGCTGGCCGAGGTGCAGGCGGTGATAGAGCGCGGCAGCTTCTGGCAGCAGGCGGGCGCGGTGCTGCTGCTGCGCATGACGCCTGTGGTGCCCTTCTCGTGAGTGTCGCCCGCCCCGCGCCGCATGCCCTGCTGCGTGTGCGGGGTGTGCCTGCTGGTGGTGCCGTGTTGCTGCAAGGCATGGGCTTGCCGGTGGCTGCGCTTGCTCAGCTGTGTGGTGTGCCAGCATAGCACTCGCTGCATCGAGAAGCCTGCCCCTAGCTGGCCAAGCCCTCTCTCGTACCCCGCGTGTCCTCCCACCCACACCCTCCCCACCCCTCCCCAACCCCACCCCCCCGCAGCGCCTCCAACTACGTGCTCGGGCTGAGCCCGCTGCCCCTGGCGCCCTACCTGGCTGGCTCCGTCGTGGGCATGGCCTTCTGGGCCGTGTTTTACGCCTCGCTGGGTGGCGCGTCGCGCTCCATGCTGCTCCGCGGCGTGGACCCGGATGTGCTGCTGGCAGACCTGCTGGACAAGGCTGGCGCGTACACGCGGGAGCTGGCGGTGGGGGGAGCGCTGCTGGGCACAGCGGCGCTGGTCTACTTGGGGGCGGGCGTGGTGCGGCAGCAGCTGGCGGGCGCCGACGGACCCGACAACGGCGCAGGCCCCGGCAGCCAGCTCGGCGTCGGCGGGCCAGCGGGCAAGGAGCTTGGCAGCGAGATTGGCGGCGAGCTCAGCAGGGGCGCGGCGGTGGGCAAGGAGCTGGTGAGCAAGGGGCTCAAGGAGTGGCTGGGGCCCAGCGGCGGCAAGGACCTAGCAGAGTCGCGGGTCAAGGAGTGAGCGTGGCCCGATCTCATCTCATCACCTGTCTTTCCGATGCATGCTCGCCCCCCCGCGGCTGGCGTGCGAGCGAGCGAGTGCGGGTGGGCAGCCCTCTGCATTGTCTCCTGCTGCTTCTGCCCCGGTCCTGCACAACACTGTTCACATTACCGCCACAGCACATCTCATCACGGATAACTCACGACATTTTGGCTATCCCCTTTGCACCCCGCGTTTTGGTGGGCCGCGTCATGCGTGCATGCAATCCTGTGCACACACTCTTCACGGTTCAGCGTTGTGGCGCCTTGCAGCTCACACAGGCCAATTCACCTTTTTGTCTTCTTTTGCCCCACCATGTACCAGTAACCTTGTTGCTCCCTTCCTTTGTTGCCTCTGCAAACTAAAAAAAGCGTGTTGTTTCGGGCTGTCGGGCGCCATTTTGCCAGGCGGCGTTTCTTGATTTCATGTTGCCGCATGGCAGACCTGTTGCGCCTTGGAACGGTCGCCTGCAAGTTACCTGTGTAACTCAAAACACATCAAAGGCGGTGGTGGTGGGCCACGCCACCTTGCCAGGCGGCGCTCCGCTGGCGGCGGCTGAGATTTGTCAACAAAATGCAGGATGGCACCCCCCTAGTTTCGCCACAATTTTCGAACCTGCTTTCAGCTGCGCGTGTCCTGCAGCGTGGTAGGCCGGGAAGTGCAAGGGTTCTCTTCGTGTGCCTCCCACCTAGCCCCAGCTGCGCGCTGGGCCTCTGCTACAAGAAGAGATTGCATAGCCCTGATCTCAAGCAACCAAACCCAGCTTGCGATTGCCTCTTGCCGCTGCCCAAGGTAGGTAGCTGCAGCTGCGGCGGCGGCCGAAGCACCGGGACGGAGTGCCCCTGGTGGTGGCACGAGCGTCCACCCCCATTCTGTCGACCACCCCCATTGTGTGTGTACAGTGACCACAGCAACAATGCCTCGGAAGGTGGTGCTGGCGGTGGACCCCTCGCCGGTCAGCCTGGACGCCCTGAAGTGGGCCACCAAGTCGCTGTGCAACAAGGATGACGAGGTACGGCAGGCTTGCGAGGGGTTCTTTTCTGTTGATCCTGCCGCCGCCCCGCCTTAAAAAAAAAAAAAAAAGCCTTCCCCTGGCCCACCGGTGCCTGTCCTGCCTCCCACCGCAGCTGCACCTCATCTCCGTGCTCGAGAGCGGGCTGCCCAACGATGTGGTGGGGGAGAGCGCCGCGGACACCAGCCCCGACTGCAAGCCCGACCCGGCGGCGCTGCTGCGGACGCAGGACCTGCTGAAGCGGTGCAAGGGGGAGGCGCAGGGGGCGGGCATCGCCAACGTCAAGATGACTACACTGGTGTCGTGTGTGGGGGGCTCAGCAGACATGGTGAGCGCGCCTGCCTGGCCTGGCCTGGGCGAGGCGCGGCGGGGCGGGGCGCCCCTGTGCGCCTGCGGCAGCAAGCAGACCTCGGGGGCGGCAGCGGCACTACATGCAGGGAGGGTTTTGAGAGCCTGCTGCGCCTGCCGCTGGTTCATCCCCGCCCGCAGGGGCGCCACATCACCGAGTTTGCGGAGGGGGAGAATGCAGACATGCTGGTGCTGGGGTCGCGCGGCATGGGCGGCGTGCGGCGGGTCTTGGGCGGCTTAATGGGTCTGGGTTCCGTCAGCGATTACGTCACCAAGCATTCCTCTACAAACGTGGTGATTCACAAGATGGCGGCGCCGCCCAAGTGATGGGGCTCCAGGCGCATGAGGCAAAGGAACCGGCAGGCTTGATACGCACGCAGAACCCCAGAACGCAACACGTCGTAACCATCACTCACTTCCATCAGCAGCTAGTCCAGGCGCCCCTCCTTTGTTTGAGGCTGCATGTTTCCCCTGGCTTGTAAGCGTGGCATCATGACGCTGTGTATACTTCCAAGTGCTGAATAGGCAGCATGATCAAGGCGGCAGGTGGCATCATAGCATGGATGCTTGAAACCATAGCAGGCTCAGCCCGCTCATGCCTCGATCACGGTGCCTGCCCGGCCCTGCAAGATGTGCAGTGCGTCTCCAATGCTGCCCACCGCGGCCTTGCCGCCTGTGGCCGTCACGAAGCGGCAGGCGGCGGCCACTTTGGGCGCCATGCTGCCCGAGGCAAACGACATCTGCAGCTGGCCGGCCTTCACAGGAGAGGGGATGGGCCGCTGCTCCCTGGGCCAGCCTGAGGGATCGTAGATCGCCCCGGCATCTGCAGTGGGCGGGGCATGGCGAGGTCTGCCAGTCAACAAGCCGGCAAGCAGCTCCCGCCTCTTAAGCCCGGCCACCAAGGCATGCATCAGCCGCACACCCTGTCCCCTGCCACGCCCTCCCACCTGTCAGCATCAGCAGCCAGTCTGCCTTGAGCTTAATGCCCAGCAGGGCAGATGCTTCGTCCTTGTCCACCACCGCCTCCACTCCTCTCCTCATCCCACGCCCGTCCACCGCAACAGGAATGCCGCCACCGCCACAGCACACCGTGATGATGCCCGCCTGCACGAAGATGCAGTGAGCGAGGGCACCGCAGCGCAAGCGCCCAGCAAATGGCTGAGGGCTTGCAATGCACTGGGGCAAGGCACGTGGGCCCGCGTGCAGGGGGCCCACCCAGCCACACCTGCAGCAGCACTTGGACGGCGCGCCACTCCACAATGTCGCGCGGCAGCGGCGAGGCCACCACGCGCCGGAAGGAGTCCGTCGGGAGCCACAGCCCACCCCTTGTCACGAGCCATCTGCTCCGCCTCCTGCGGGTGTGTATGCGCAGCGGGGCGGCAAACATGGTCAGGCGAGAAGCAGGCCGTGAAGCAGTGTATGGCAGGCTGCCCCATTCCACAGCCCACCCGCCTCGTCCCAGCATCACTCAGATCCCCGCAGTTCGGCGCTGCCCACCTGCTTGCTGTAGCGAGGCCCGACCTGCTTGCGCGGGTGCTGGAAAGCCTCATCCCCCGGGTCAACCACCACCTGCATCACCAGGCCATGCAGGCAGGGTGGTGCCACCACGATGCAGTGCAGCCCACACGCGCCGCAGAGGAGAGCCCCCGCACACCAGCCCTCTTCACCTGCGTCAGCAAGGCCGCCACCTGCCGATGCTGCAGCGCATTGGCCAGCTCCAGCTCCAGCAGGAACCCCAGCTGCCCCTCCGTCTCCGCATCCAGCACCTCAAGCCTCGCCTGCAGCAGCACCGAGGGAGAGGCGCCGGCAGGCATCAGACATTGACCACTCACACCTGAGCTGATTTTGTTATGGTCTGGAAAACCGAGGTGGCTAGCTGGGCGAGCAACGCGCCCCACCCAGGCCTGTCAAGCAGAAGAAACAGACCGTGGGGTCCTGCAGCGCCAGCATGCCAACTTGTGGGCCGTTGCCGTGCGTGCAGCAGACCGAGTAGCCCGCATCTACCAGCTGCCTCACCGCCGCCGCCGCCGTCTTGGCGTTGCGCTGCTGGACCTCCATGGTCAGCGGCTCGCCGCGCTTCAGCAGGGCATTGCCCCCAAACGCGACGACCACGATGGGGGCGCCCACGCTCGGCGGCGGCGGCGATGCAGCCTGCGCAGGCAAAGGCAGCCACACCATCATCTCCATTCCCCCAGCTGCGGTTGCATGCATCACACCATCTCCCACTTTTCGAGCAGGTGCTTCATGCCGTTGGATGCTGGCAAACAAGCGGAGGCCCTAACCTGCAGCGGCGCGGAGGCGGTGGCAGAGGCAAAGGCGGCGCACTGCGCCCGCCGGCTGAGGCGGGCTGCTGCTGCGCTCCTTGCCATCCGATATCCTGCTGCCGCGGCCTGAATGGACGCCTGCCTGCAGCCGCATTTCCGCCAGCGCGCCAAAGTCAAGGCGCGAGCCAGCGTGCTGCATCTGGAGGATATCTGCATTATCACCGATGCCGAGCACCAATGAACATATCGCTTCCACTTTCGCTTGCGGTTCAGGTATTTCGGATCCAGCGTGTGGCCGCGTGTCAGATGAGCATGAAACGAAAGCGCATGCGCGAGTTCAGCGGCTTGCACATTCACAGCACGTCCGATCGGGGGTTCTGTGACGTGCACAACGGGTGTTGACTGTCGGCTCTGCGTCTATTTGTGCCGCCGCGCCCGAACGCTCCAGCCCTTGCCCCATTTTTTACATAACAGCACAGCAACCAGGGGTGCACGTCAGCGGTGATGCTGCAGGCGGCGGCAGGGGTGGCGCGGCGGCTTGTTAGTGGGGCAGGCGGAACGGCGGTGCGGGCGCCGCCACCACCAGCGCGATGCACGGCGGCAGCAGGCGGTGCCTGGCGGGCAGCCCCGCTGTGGCCCCCCAGGCAGGCACACCTGCGGCATGCCGTGGCAACCGCGGCGGCAGCCAGGGCTGCAGAGCGCCCGGCACGACGGCAGCAGCAGTTTGTGCAGGTGGAGCCCGACGGCTCGGATGCCTGGCGCCTGGAGCCGGTGATAGAGGCGCTGAAGGAGGGTGCTGTGGGCATCATACCAACAGGCACGTGGTGGGCCAGCAGTGGCAGGTCCACGCAGCGTGCAGGGGCAGCAGCATCAGCTGCCGGGGCTGGCACATCATCTCCTGCTTTCCGGGCTGGGCAGCGCGGGAGGCCTCCTGGCTACCGGGCAGCCCTTCCCATCCACGCTGCAGCCGGTGCATATTGTCTGCTGGAGCTTTGCCCCGCTCCACAGCGCCCCTTCCCTTCCCGCCTGCCTGCCTGCCCGCACCTTGCACCCCTCCCCACACCACGGTGCGCACGTGTTTGCCTCCCCGCCCATACCGCCGTGGCCCCCGCCCGTCCCGCCCGCCCCGCAGACAGCAACCTGGCGTTTGTGTGCGACCTGGGCAACCGCAGCGCTGTGGAGAAGCTGCTGGAGATCAAGGGGGCGCGCGGCAGCCAGCGCATGTCCATCCTGTGCCGCAGCCTGCAGGATGTGGACGCGTATACGCAGGGCTGGCCGCCCAGCCGCGCCCCCGGCCAGCCCGACATGTTCAAGCTGGTCAAGCGCGTGCTGCCGGGGCCGGTGAGGCGGGGCAGGGGGACAGGGGGAGCCAGGGGCGCGCCCGCCGCTGCGGCCTGCCTCCTTGTGTTTTGTTGCGCGGGCAGCAGCAGGGGCGTTGGCATGGACCAGCGTACAGCCGAGCCGCCTGCCGCTGCGCAGTTGTTGGCTGCTCCTGCTCATGTGGGCGGTCAATTCCACTCTGCGCTGCTGCCACCGCGCCTGTGCGCTGCTCCCGCCTGCAGTACACCTTCATCCTGCTAGCCGGCAAGGAGTTGCCGAAGGCGCTGACCAATGTTGACAAGGGGAAGAGCAAGAAGCGGCGCGAGGTGGGGGTGCGCCTGCCGGACGACGCAGGTGGGTGGCGGGTGGGGCAGGGGAGGGGATTGGAAGGCGGGTTTTGCAGCCGCGTTAGGGTGAAGGGTGTGGCTAGGCATCGCATGAAGCTGCCATCTGATGTGTGCTGTGGGAAGGGTGGCTTGGAAGGGAACGCGCTGGTGGTGGTGGTGGTTACAGCAGCAGCGTGTCGTGCAGGCCGCCAGCCTACGGCTCCCTCGGCCCCTCCTGCCGATCATCCCTCCCCGCCTCGCCCCCGCCTGCAGTGGCCCAGGCCATCCTGCAGCAGCTGGACCGCCCCCTGCTGTGCAGCACGGCGGCTACGGGGCCCGGGGATGGGGCGATCATGGGCCAGGATGCGGCGGTGCTCATGGATAGGTATGGCAGGGCGGGGCTCGACTTTGTGGTGGATGCCGGCCCCCGCCTGGCAGAGGGCAGTACCGTCATCGACTGTACCGGCGCGGAGCCCGTGGTGCTGCGGCAGGGCAAGGGCGACGCCGCCTTCCTGGCGGCATGACTGCGGTGCAAGGCCGGCCAGCGCCCTTGCGTCTCGGCCGAGGAGGATCAGTCGGCGGCGACGGTGGGAGTGGCGGGTGCACCACCCTTTGCTGCCAGCCCCAAATGTGCGTGCAAGTGCCCTTTTTTGGTGGCTGAGCGCGCCGCAGCGAAAATCCAAGCGTTGATCTTACAAATACGTCTCGTAATGCAAAGGTCACCAGTCTGGAAAGGACAAGTCCTGGTTGGGAGGTCAAGGCGGCGGCCTCAGCGTCCCGCTTCACTTTCCCTTGCCTCGATCACTTGTTGCTGTCTTTCGAACCCCCAAGAAGCACACATCGGGTCCAACATGACGTCCGCTCCACAAACTGTGCAGCCCGTCGAGAACGGCGGCGGCCGCCTTACCAACCTCGCGGAGAAGACGGCGTCGACTGCCGAGGGCCTGTACACCTCCGCCAAGTCGCGTCTGCCTGAGGCAGTCAGGCCGCGGGTTGAGGCCGTGGAGGAGGCCGCAGCCCCCTACGTGCACAAGGCGCAGGACACAGGTGAGAGGTGGGGCGTTTGAAGCGGTGGGCGGGCCCGCTGGGATCGCCTATATTGCGCCCCAAGCATTCTGGCGGCATGGTGGCGTTCGGCACGGAAGCCGCCCGACGAGGCGCCAGAAGCCCGCTGCAGCACCTGTGCACACCTCACTGCCAGCTTCCAGCGCCTCTCAGAGCCTGTGGCCTGACCCCCTGGTGCGGCCCCGCCTCCTGCCCCCGCCACCCTGCCCGCCTGCAGGCGCGACGCTGCTCAAGGCCGCCGACAACCGCATTGAAGGGGCCCTGAGTTCTGCCAGCAAGGTGTACACCGACAACAGCGCCTACCTGCAGGCGCAGCTGGCGCGCCAGGCCGAGTTCCACAAGGCCAACCTGGAGAGCTACAAGCAGGCGCGGGAGGCGTACCTGAAGAAGGTGCGGCACGCCGCCGCCGCCACCCCGCTGCAGCCGCAATCTGGCAGCCGTCTTGCGCGGGCCACCTCTCCTGCTTCGGCGGCATGCCTCCTGCCGCCCGACTCTTGTGATGCTTATGACTGGCCCTTTCCCTCGCTTTGCCTGCAGGTGGAAGATGCGGTTGAGTTTGTCAAGCAGAAGGGGCTGACGGGCGCGGCCCGGGCAGCCGCTGACGAGGTGCTGGTGCGGGTGGGGGAGGCCAAGAACGCGGTGCTGGGGGCCCCCGCCTTCCTGCTGCACAAGGTGCGGTGCGGTTGCTTTGCAGGGCGGGGGGACAGCGTGCGTGCCTGTGGTGGGCAGGATGGAACGTGCTGCGCTTTGTTGGGCTGCTGATCGCTGGCATGCGGTATGCCAGCTGCATCACATTCTTCTTGCCGTGCCTGTGTGCGCCTCCGGGACTGCAGGTGCAGGATGCGGTGGACAGGCTGCTGGCCTTTGGTCCGGTGCACTCGGCGCTGGAGACGGCCAAGCCCTCGCTGACTGCGGTGAGCCCGCAGCACACGCTTTGCTAATTCACTCCCCTCTTTGCCGCTATGCCAGCGCCGCTGGCAGGTTGCTCGCTGGCTGCATGGGGAGGGCAACATGCAGTGGTGCTGCCAACCCCCCGTTCGAACCAGCCATGTCTGGCCGCTTCCCGCCCTTTGTCTCGCAGGCCAAGGGCCAGTACCTGCGCGTTCACGACTCTGTGGTGGCGTCACAGCAGTACAAGCAGGTGTACAGCCTGGCCAACGACTTTGCGGCGCGCGCGCAGCAGACCTGGGTGTTCAGCAAGGCCAAGGAGAACCTGATGCCGCTGGCCAAGCCCGCCATGGACACGGGTGAGCCTGAAGCGGCAGGGCCCAGCCATCACCAGACTTGAGGCCCTACCACAATCGCGGGCTGGCCTGAACCTGAATGTTTCGAGTTCTCATCGGGCTGACGGCCAGCGCTGCCTGTTTCCTCCTCCCCTGCGCTGCCTGCAGTGGTGGCCAGCCCGTACTACCACAGCCTGGTGCAGCACCTGCAGCCCATCGAGGCGGGGCGCGCATGAATGCAAAGTGGTGCAGCCCAGTATGGCGCACTCTGCCTCGGGCCGCGTCGCGAGGCCTCGCTAGCGATTAGGATTTGAGAAACAGTGCATGCGTATACAAACACAAGCTCATGTTTGCTTCCCCACTCTCATCTGTCATCCCAAGTGAACAGTAAATGAACAGGGTCCTTTATGCCTGAAACGCCATCCCTCGATACACATGCCTCAGTACCTCCTTTGATTTTGTTTAGAAACCCAACCCATTTCAGCGCCACCCTTTGGAACACTGGCACGATTGGCACTGAAGAGTGCGAGTGCTACACATCGTCCTGTCCCTTGTAAATTTCCTTCCAGGCGTGTTGCCCTGACAGAAAGGATTTTGCGCGCCTTGATGGGGAAGAGGAACAAGTATGCTTCAACGACTGCGGCGCGCCCCCTCACAGGTGGAAAGGGGTGTGCCCGCCGCGCCCGGCGGGAGGAACTGCGCAAGGGGACGTCATCGATCCAGGTTGTTCAATGCAGGCTTCTCCCTCTACGGAACGACGTCTAGGCTGATTGCATGCCGGATGAAGAGGTCAGTGGCCTGCGGATCACTGTTGCTGTGGGCGCCGATCTCATCGTCGCCATTGGGTCGCTACAGCGCGCTGGCTGTGGAGCAAGCAAAGCATCCCTCGACCCTCCTTGTTTGTCCATCCGAAGGCGCCATTGCCGCCCTGTGTCGTCGGCAACGCCGGCAAAGCCCCCGCAGAGGATTGCAAGACTTGCAAGGGTACCAGGTTGGCAGCTCGGGCAGCGCCTTCCCCCTCGAGCTTGGTGAGCATGGTGAGTGATGGGTTTGTGAGCCTGCAGGAGAGGGGAGCGTCCCCCACTTCCTGGGGCCACGGGGGCGTCCACTTCGGCGTTTGGAGTCTTTCTCCTCCCGCGCTTCCCCAGCCTCTGTTGGCTGGTGGGTGGTTGGAGGCCCTTCTCAGAGGGGCACACCATGGGCAGCAACATACTGCGCTTGCGGGGCCTCCCATTCAGCTCCACAGAGGAGGATGTGGTGGAATTCTTCGCTGGTTTCGACGTGAAGGCGGTGTATCTCGGCAACAAGAGCGGTGAGGGGCGTGTGGGCGCTGCAGAGGCGGAGTGAGACAAAACATCGCCTGCCTCGCCTGCAGCAATCCGGCGCCCGGCAGGCCCCGGCAGGCCGGCGGCCCGGGCTGCTGCGGCGTGCCTGCCGGGCAGCGCCTGTCCGCGCTGGCTGGAGGAGGGAGAGGCCTCCCGCCATCCTTTCGTAGCATCCAGCCGTGCAACGCGGCACGCCCACGCGCCCATCACGCCCGGGCAGGCCAGCTGCGGCCTTCGGGCGCGGCGCCCGCCGCCCGCACCGCCTGCTGGCACCTCCCGGCGCCCAGCCCACGGGCGGCCCGCTCGGCGCCTGCCGCCCGGCCTCACCTTGGGCGTCCACCCTGCCGCGCAGGCAAGAACACCGGGGAGGCCTATGTGGAGCTGCAGAGCACGGCTGATGCCAAAAAGGCCCTGCAGGAGAAGCAGCATCAGCACATGGGCTCGCGATACATAGAGTGAGTGCGGGCGCGGGGGGGCCCTCGCCGGGCCGCCACCTGGTGGCCTGCGCGCCCCAAATTTAAAATTTGGGGCCCCTCCCGCCCCACCGCGCCCCCTTTACCCCCGATTGGACCTTCCTGAACTCGATTTGGGCCTCCACCGCGCCGCAGGATCTTCGTGGCCGGCGAGGCCGACCTGCTGGCGCAGACGTCGGGGGGCGGCGGCGAGGGCGGCCGCCCGTCGCTGCAGGGCCACGTGGTGCGCCTGCGCGGCCTGCCCTTCACCTCCACCGCCCAGGACGTGCTGCAGTTCTTCGAGGGGGTGGAGACGGTGGGGGGGGAGGCGGGGGTGGTGTTCACGTGCACCCCCGACGGCCGCCCCACGGGCGAGGCGTACGTGGCGCTGCCCGACGCCGAGGCGCTGGCGGGGGCGGTGGCGCGCCACAAGGACAAGATTGGCACGCGGTACATCGAGATCTTCGAGTCCAGCAAGGGCGACATGTACCAGGCGGTGCAGCAGCACGGCTACTTCACCACCGTGGGGGGCAGGCGCAGGCACCACTGGCACCAGCAGCCCGGAGGGCTGGGGGGCGGGGGGCAGTTCCCGCAGGAAGCGGGGGGGGGCGGAGCAGGCGGCGGCGGCCGCGGCCGCAGCCTCCAGATTGGACAAATGACCAACGCCTTTTGTTGTTGGTGGGGGCGGGGCAGGGGGGGGGGGGGCTTGCTGGGAGCAGGGCACGCAGCCGAGTTGCTTTTGGGAATGGCGTGCCTGGTGGGGCTGGTGACACAAACGTCCCCTCCTGCGGGGCTGGCAGGCAGGGATGGGCAGCAGCCCTGCATGCCCCTGCTGCCACTTCTTCCCCTGTTCCTCGCAGCCCTGCTGCCTTCCCCTCTTTTGCCCCCAGCCTGCCCTCACCCCACCGCTCCCACGCATCCCACCCTGCCCTCTGCCCTCCGCAGGCTTTGGCCTCAGCCAGCGCGACATGCAGGTGCCGGGGCCGCCGCGCTGGGACGCGTATGGCGCCCCCGCCGACCAGCAGTACCAGCAGTACATGGGTGGCCCACCCCGCCAGATGCAGCAGGCGGGGGTGATGCCGGCGGGGGCGGTGCGCTGGCGCCCCGGCACCCAGATGGTGCCCGGCGGCGGCGGCATGCAGCGGCCAGGCGGCATGCAGCACTTCAATCCTGCACCCGGGCCCCCGCCCGGAAAGGTGAGTTGCCCGCTGGGCTTGGCAGCCGCGCCGCATCGTGCCGTGCCCTTGTGTGCCACCCCTGCCAGCGGTGGCTGGGACGTGTCGTGCCGTCGCAGCCAGCCTCCCGTCCCATCTCCACAGTGCGCCCCTGCTCACCGCCCCGCCTGCTGGTGGCCTGTGCGACCGCGGTGCAGGGTGGGCGGGGCGGGGTCGCCAACGGCACGCTCCAGCCCGGCAGCGGCGGCGGCTACGGCATGCACGAGTATGGCGGCGGGCAGGCGGTGATGTTCAACCCCTTCATGATGCAGCACCCGCTCATGATGCAGCACCAGCAGCACCAGCACCACGCCTCGCCCTGGGGCACCGCCGGCATGATGCAGCAGCAGGTGGGGCAGGGGCAGGGAGAGCTCGGCATACTGAGGGCGCCCAGGGCTCCTGCCTGGGCTGGAACGTGGGCGGGGCTGCTGGGGGGCGCCCCGCCGCTCCCCCGCGCCTGCCGCGCCTCGACCGGGAACCTGCCTGCCTTGCCTGCAGGGCGGCGCCTGGTATGGCGGCATGCATGCGGCGCAGATGGGGCGGGCGGGGCCCGCCATGCAGATGGGCATGGCCGCCCCCTACGCCCACTCCTACGCTTACTTCCCCATGAGGGCGGGCCCAGGTGCGCGGGGCGGGGCGGGCGCCCGCCAAGCACATGTTGCCCGGCTGCCATATCAGCTGCGTGGCGGGCATGCCAGCGCCAGGCGCGGCGAACACAGCCATGGCGAAGCAGGGCGCTGACCCGCTTGTGCGCCTCCCCCTCGCCACTGCCCTGGGCTGCAGGAGTGTCGGGCCAGCAGGGCGGCGGCGGCCACCACCAGGGGCAGCACAGCAGCAGGCAGCAGGCGCAGGGGGCAGGCAGCGGCGCAGGGGCGGGCAGCGGCGCAGGGGCGGGCGCGGCGGCGGCGGCGGCGGCGGCGGTGGCAGGCAGCCAGCAGGCGCCGCAGCCGCTGCCTGCTGAGAGTGCCGGGGGCGGCAGCAGCAGCGGCAGCGTGGACGAGGCGCCTGCTGATGGCTCGCAGGGCGAGGCGCAGCCGGAGGCGGCGCCTGCGGCGGAGGCGGCCTCGCCGGCGACGCCCGAGCAGTGACCACGCCTGCCCACGCGCTGCGCTACGCCGTTGGCTGGCAGCATGTCCCTGCGCCCCTCATCCCACCCACCGCTACACATCCGACTCCCCCCCGTCTGCCTGACCGGACTGACCGAGCGAGCAGGCTCGCGCCACTCATGCGCCCCGCTGCATCAAGCTGGGCATCGCCCCGCCTGGCTCCTCCTCCTGACCCGCCTACCATACATACCTGCCTACCCCCCCC